GGAATCGTACTACCTGTCGCGCCTACCTTTAAATACAGAAATGTTATTCACTACAAAATATGAAGCAAATTTATTTTGATTGAGTCTAAATTTGATGTAAGATAATAGTTTATTGTATTAAGAACTGTTTTTACATTTCAAAATCAAATCCAAAAATAAAATGTCGGTCAAAATCAATTGAGATAGAAATATCGAACGACTGACCACGATTTTCTAATTTATTAGAACATAATTATGTTGATTTAGTATTTGTTGTAAGTTTAAAAAACACTCCTTAATAGAAATGAAAAACAACATGCAATGATAACGCAAATCTATAGAGGAAGCTGCCAGATAGCAATGCTCATGATACATTGTATATGCAGATATTGAGCGTTGTCAACAGCGACCTGCATTCATTGTATGTATAAGAAGACTATTTCTCTAGAAATCGGCGGAACTTTGATATACATGTTTACCCTAAAACACACCTGAAAAAGAAATATTGGGGATAAGGTACTTAAGTAGGAGAAAGAATGAAAAGATAAATTATTTTTAGGAAGATTTATACTAAAGGATAAGATAGTTCTTTTATAATATATCGACGCTAGTCATGACTTCAATTAAAAACTTCCGCCTGGTGTCAATTTTTAAATGACAATATCATTTTTTTTTATTTCAATCTATATTAAATAGTTACCAAATGTAGTAAAATGAAAAGCTTGGCTCGGCTTTTATTTCGACACGAAAGCTTTTAATACGTCATTCAATATGTCTTTGATTTTGGATTGTATCTTTATTAATGGTGACGTCATTTATTTTGATAGGGTAGCACAACTGTTCGATATTACTGATGTCATCAAATCTGAATCATGTGATTTATTGTTTAGGTAAGTAAAAAGACAGTTACATAAGCGTTAACAGACTATGGGATATCAATGTTTAAGCAATAGCGAGTCTTCTGTTAAACATTTTCAATGAAGACTGGCACACACAAGCTGATGTTTTTGTATTATAAAATTATACACACATTTAAACAACTGTTATACGAGGTATCGGAGCATTGCAATGATTTGATTTTATCTAATCTATATTTTGTTTAGTGAGAAACAAATAATGAAGTAATTTAACAGCGAAACTTTTTATTAAAAAAAGTAACCCGATCTGTCGATTACGGTACTATTACATGCACCAAACACCACATTGAACACACAACGAAAATGTATTAGACCGATAATAGATTCAGTTCGGCAGATGTTTGTTTTCTTTAGAAATTGACTTTTTATCTTCAAAATATATCATTGAAATATCAAATCCATATCAATTCTCAATCAAAGCAATGTGACGGGATACTTATATTTTAGAGGAAATTAACAAAAGCAGGGAAAACGCCACAATGAAAATAATGTTAAGAAAGAATAATATAGTCCATTGGTTTTGCTTCATGTAAACATCATCCTTATCTCAATTGACGAACGTTTTGTGGTGAAATAGATTTAAACTAAAAGGGAGTTTATTTCCTAGATTTGTTTTATTTTGATAGTAAAAATGAATAATTTCATTTAAAAGGCAGAACTGATGAAAATGTAATCTTCTTGTTAGACTGAAAGTGTGAAAATGTTTTAAAAGAATCCAGTAAAGGGGTTCGTTTCACAAGCTCTAATTGGAAACAGAATAGCAAATAAGTCATAAAACCTTATAATCATGTATGTATGTATTGATGAAAGAAAATGTTTTCGACTGAAACTGGAAATAGAATAGGAGGAGTTAAAACCACAACTGACTGCTTTTGGAAACAATGTGTGACACACACAAGCTTATAATCAGATGTATGATATACATATGTCATAATTATGTCATAATATACACTGTAATAATTATTTCATCCTGTGCAAATGTAGTTAGTTCACCTGAAATTTTAGTGCTTTTACCAAACGCTTGATGCATAGAAGACGTATGTTTCACTAACGTTTAGACTCGTACATTGTCCTAAAACATTGAGAAAATGTATGCTCTTTGAAAACAATAATACCCGCAACCTCTTTTGAACAGTATATGCAGTGTCTATATGTTTTGTCAAGTGAACGGCATCACTTTTACAAGAAATATGAAAGATTTCGCTGTTCTTGGTACCTTTACTTGTAAAATAAAGTACTCGAGAAATGTGTGCAGTAAAGACGTATCCAAGAGGCTAATGAAAAGGTTCCTGATTTTGTTATCAGGTTAGAGAAATATTCAGAAAATATTTCTCTAATTTTGTTCAGTCTATTTAAGTTCACCCTCGCCAAAATACAACTTACATTTTAAGACATTGTAATTCTCTGTATATCATATCATATCAATTGCAGTTGCACTGTATATTACATCATTGGTACATTAGATATGAATTCCACATGTATATTGTTTCGTGTACTTTGTATGGTGAATCACAACAAGTCACTTGTTGGAACATACCCGTAAGATATGAATTCTACAAAAGTAACTAACAGAATCAGTGCGAGTCCAAGATGAAAGATACGGTTGTATGATGAAATTTAATTTATCATTTTTGTACGCTTAGTTCTCGAGGTTCGCTGTAACCTCCATGCCAGGTATTAATTTAGAACATACAATAGTACTTGTGAAATTGATGTTCCTTTAAATTATCAGATAAATGGAAAAATAGTGGGTCATTTGTGTACTTAGTACCATCCCTCGGCGTGCATGGATATATATGTACAAATAAACATTCATTATAACTAATCATTCAATTTCCGTCCATATGTAGATAATAATAAAAACGCGAAATGTAAGTGATTTTTTTTTATTTCTTTTGTTATTCATGGCTTTATAAGTTACACTCTAGACAGTTTCCCGTTTTCCACACAGGCGGATCCAGCAAACGATTCAGGTAACTCATAGCTGTAAATATACATACAAAAATGGTTTGGTAAACAGATCAATAATAACGCAAAGATCAATAATACTACATTTACATAATTATATTTTTTGTCTTTGTTGAGAACAAACATCATAAGAGTGTACATTCGTTATTTTGGATGTTGGACAAAATAAATTTCATCTTGTTTCTGGAAATCCAGGAGTTACCATAGGCCGTCTTGATTTAAGTGTATACAAAATCAAATACCGAGTGTTTAAGTTTGTACAACATTCTGCCACATGAATGAGTTATCATTTTTGATACATATTACTTTCATAGGAATATATGTTTCCTGATAGCATTAAATTCATCTCTTATATATATTATTTCCTTACAACGAAATAGTTTATTGGCATCATTTGATTCAATAGAAATACAAATTTATCTATTTCACAAAGAATACGAAACAAGTTATCGACAATAATGTGGAACGTAAACCGAAAAATATAGTCTGGCCGGTAAATGAATATTAATATCCTTGTATCAGAAATGAGAGTCGGGGTACAGCATACACCTCAATAACATTAATAGTACGCTCATATTATTTCATCCAGTAGCCTGAATATTTCTCAACTGTAGTACTGCTTCCAGTATTTCATAGACAATAGACAGCACAAATGGAAAGGGAGGTCATTCATTCCTGTTAATGATTTTAATTTCAAATATCCAGTCTTTAAAGACATAAGCTCGGGCACCTGGCGCCTGAGAAATATATTATCAACCTTTGACTATCTTTTTGTTTAGTTTGTTCTAATACAATATCATATAAAAATAAAGGTTATCGACTTACGTCAGTTCCATTAAGATGTAATAAATCTAGTTGGGAACATCATTCAGGATTTAATATTATTTGGCTTCTCAAAGTGAGACTTAATTCATTCGTTTGCAATACCGTCTTCAATTCTGATTTTGTATTGAAATATGCTATGAACTAGTGTGTCAGGGCCAGATAATCAGATTCATATCCATTAAAGGAGGGTTCTGATATCTGTGTTATTTTGAAAATTAATCAATTCCTAAAATCCTGCGTACACATAAAAGGTTTCTGTTTGGGATTTTTATTTTCATGAAAACCAACTTACCTAAATTCAGGGCAGCACTCTTCCACATGGACAGATCCCTTCACACACTACTTCAGCTTTCCTAAAGAATAAACATTCAAATTCGATAATGATTTATTCCTTAAACATTGCAAAACTATATGTAATCTGGTCTATCAGTAATTTCTTATGGATGTCTACTTTCAGAGCTATATGAAAGTAGTTGTCTGATGCCGTACTTCTCTATATCAATCTCTATTATAACAATCAGCAAAACACTTATTGTCGTAGGAAAGTGCTGACTCGGTTATGCTCTAAGATTAGACAAAGTAATCAAAATGGAGTCAATAGTTTAAACCAGGATGATAAAACACTAAGATATGTTTTCCGCTACTACTAACACTACAGAAAACACTGACTACTGCTAATTGTATTGCTGTTAATAGCAGCAACAACGCCAAAAACAACAAAAACTCCACCATCACAACAACAACAACTATTCCAATCTCTTCTACTTCTAGTACAACTTCTACTACTACTCCCACTACTACTAATATTACTACTGCTACTACTACTACTACTACTACTACTACTATTGCTACTACTACTATTACCACTACTATGACTACTATTTCTACTACTACTGCTACTACTACTACTATACTACCACTTACTACTACTACTACAACTAAATAGATAATAATTTGTATTGGAGGTGTATTTCGTAAATATTGTTTATCTACAATATCAAGTGTCAATAAAATAACGGTCTGTTTAAAAAAAGGAAAAAATATCAAGATCTGACATCTGAGCCTAACGAAAATATATGATTTGAACCTCGCCAAAATATAGGATCACACAGTAACCGGTGTATCAATCAGGCCGCATTTGGCGATATACAACTTGCACACTCGTGACAAGAAACCTACACAAAACAGAGATGTAAAGAACAGACTCTAGGCATTGATAACGCTCCTGTTGTAACAGAAATATCCGATGATACCAGTCGTTTTCCGTGATAAATGTATTTTATGAATATAGTAAGTAAACTTGCTACTTACGCGCATTTGGCTAAGCACTCGTTGTCGTAGGTGTTCCCATCAGAACCACACACTGGTGCAATTATTTCTGGACAATAACACGGACACGGGCACTTTCCTTCACATTTGATGTCAACATTTCTAGAAAACAACAAATCAGTTTAAAAGAAATCAAATATCTTCAAAATATTCTGAAAAGAAAAGTGCTGACTCGGTTAAGAAATCTACACAAAACATTCGAAATACCTCATTTCCAAACATACAAATATCCTGCTAGTCTTGTTATCAAACCCCATATAGAAGTCTAATGATTTCCAAGCCAATTTCGGAACGAGGTTCACTTTGTCTATGACAATCAACAAACAGTTTTAGTAAGAATAAAAATAATGACTATCTTTAACTGTGGTACCATATCTACAGACATATACTGTACACAAGGAAATATTCGTCTAGTGTTTCGTTAGCCCTCGTATAAAACTTTTCATTTTTGCGGTTTCTCAAATTTGCCATCAAATACATAACATAAACGTTTACATCACGCTTTCGCCTTGATGGTCAAAGGCCAAAATGAGCCTAAATGACGGTAATTTGACAGGTAAGCATTTTGATCAAATGCACACAGTGTTAAAAATGATAGATTGTTGATTTTACGTTACTTAGTTACCGAAATATTATTCAATATAGGTAGGTAGGCTTATTAATAATCATACAGAATGCATAAGCATGTAACCAATAAATACCCGTCACCAAGCACTGTACACATAACAACATGGACCAGTTTGTGATATATCTATAATACCTCCAGATACAATGTATATACTTCTATAAACTACAAAAAAATCCTTTCGATAATAGTTGATCGCACTCACGCACAACCGGCGGCACACGCGTTGTTGTAGGTTCTTTTGTCAACTCCACATACTGGTATGTAATCCACAGTACAATTACATGGACAAGGACACTTCTGATGACATTGAATGCCAACACCCCTGAAATAAGAATACCACAATAACAAAGGATTTGACAATGCTTTTTCTTAATTTCTTATATTTGTCATAAAAAAAGTTCATCTAAAGAATGTATAAGTTTGCTATTTTTCACTTGCAGACCAATATTCGTCACATAGTGTCGCTTGATAGAATATACCAACTTGCTGAGTACAGAGTGAATTCACTTATATACATTAGAGATGAAAGTTTCCTCTTAATAAAAAAGTATGATTTTCTTCGTGTTTCTGGAATATCTCACTTTCACTATGTCTTTTTTTATCCTTCAAAAATCTATCTGTTCAATATTCACAGTGAAATCTTTTATGCAGGCGCGCGACTGTCCCGAAATTGACAAGAGATATTCATACGAATATGAACTTTTAATTTAGTCCTGAATTAAATCAACAACCAATCAACAACCGAAGCATACCACAAGGCCACCCGAACCACACACGAAGGCTATACGAAGATGTGCATGTTTATTAAGAACTTTACCCGAATGACACTCGAAAGCAACATGATGACTACTATTGAGTGTACAAAGCGTTCGAAACAGGTTCACGAAGGCATCACATGACCTGCTAATGATATAAAAACCAACTGTGCTCAAATTTCTCCTAAATCTCAAATTCCCAATAATGTAAAATGCCATGCCAAAATCCCAAAGTAAATATTTTAAACCTAACTCCCAGTAACAATTTATAAACTATACTTTGACATTAGGCCTTTGTCATTAGTTTGACATTATAATGACTGCAATGGAAGATACTCTGAGAATTGTTTTATATATAGCTTCGACACTCGAATCCAACATGAAAATGGGCCTTAGCAATGTCTTTCAACATTTTTGGCATGCCAATGATTATGTTTCGCATTCATAACTTTGTTAAGGAGACAATTTCGCTAAATAAAATCAGGAAATATGTAATAATCCGCTTATTGACATCCTGCTACTATTACTCTACCACTATATGATTTGAACCTCGCCAAAATATAGGATCACACAGTAACCGGTGTATCAATCAGGCCGCATTTGGCGATATACAACTTGCACACTCGTGACAAGAAACCTACACAAAACAGAGATGTAAAGAACAGACTATAGGCATAGATAACGCTCCTGTTGTAACAGAAATATCCGATGATAACAGTCGTTTTCCGTGATAAATGTATTTTATGAATATAGTAAGTAAACTTGCTACTTACGCGCATTTGGCTAAGCACTCGTTGTCGTAGGTGTTCCCATCAGAACCACACACTGGTGCAATTATTTCTGGACAATAACACGGACACGGGCACTTTCCTTCACATTTGATGTCAACATTTCTAGAAAACAACAAATCAGTTTAAAAGAAATCAATTATCTTCAAAATATTCTTACAAGAAAAGTGCTGACTCGGTTAAGAAATCTACACAAAACATTCGAAATACCTCATTTCCAAACATACAAATATCCTGCCGGTCTTGTTATCAAACCCCATATAGAAGTCTAATGATTTCCAAGCCAATTTCGGAACGAGGTTCACTTCGTCTATGACAATCAACAAACAGTTTTAGTAAGAATAGAAATAATGACTATCTTTAACTGTGGTACCATATCTACAGACATATACTTTACACAAGGAAATATTCATCTAGTGTTTCGTTAGCCCTCGTATAAAACTTTTCATTTTTGCGGTTTCTCAAATTTGCCATCAAATACATAACATACACGTTTACATCACGCTTTCGCCTTGATGGTCAAAGGGCAAAATGAGCCTAAATGACGGTAATTTGACTGGTAAGCATTTTCATAAAATGCACAGAGTGTTAAAAATGATAGATTGTTGATTTTGCGTTACTGAGTTACCGAAATATTATTCAATATAGGTAGGTAGGCTTATTAATAATCATACAGAATGCATAAGCATGTAACCAATAAATACCCGTCACCAAGCACTGTACACATAACAACATGGACCAGTTTGTGATATATCTATAATACCTCCAGATACAATGTATATACTTCTATAAACTACAAAAAAATCCTTTCGATAATAGTTGATCGCACTCACGCACAATCGGCGGCACACGCGTTGTTGTAGGTTCTTTTGTCAACTCCACATACTGGTATGTAATCCACAGTGCAATTACATGGACAAGGACACTTCTGATGACATTGAATGCCAACACCCCTGAAATAAGAATACCACAATAACAAAGGATTTGACAATGCTTTTTCTTAATTTCTCATATTTGTCATAAAAAAGTTCATCTAAAGAATGTATAAGTTTGCTATTTTTCACTTGCAGACCAATATTCGTCACATAGTGTCGCTTGATAGAATATACCAACTTGCTGAGTACAGAGTGAATTCACTTATATACATTAGAGATGAAAGTTCCGCTTAATAAAAAAGTATGATTTTCTTAATGTTTCTGGAATATCTCACTTTCACTATGTCTTTTTTAATCCTTCAAAAATCTATCTGTTCAATATTCACAGTGAAATCTTTTATGCAGGCGCGCGACTGTCCCGAAATTGACAAGAGATATTCATACGAATATGAACTTTTAATTTAGTCCTGAATTAAATCAACAACCAATCAATAACCGAAGTATACCACAAGGTCACCCGAACCACACACGAAGGCTATACGAAGATGTGCATGTTTATTAAGAACTTTACCCGAATGACACTCGAAAGCAACATGATGACTACTATTGAGTGTACAAAGCGTTCGAAACAGGTTCACGAAGGCATCACATGACCTGCTAATGATATAAAAACCAACTGTGCTCAAATTTCTCCTAAATCTCAAATTCCCAATAATGTAAAATGCCATGCCAAAATCCCAAAGTAAATATTTTAAACCTAACTCCCAGTAACAATTTATAAACGATAGTTTGACATTAGGCCTTTGTCATTAGTTTGACATTGATAAAGACTGCAATGGAAGATACTCTGAGAATTGTTTTATGTATAGCTTCGACACTCGAATCCAACATGAAAATGGGCCTTAGCAATGTCTTTCAACATTTTTGGCATGCCAATGATTATGTTTCGCATTCATAACTTTGTTAAGGAGACAATTTCGCTAAATAAAATCAGGAAATATGTAATAATCTGCTTATTGACATCCTGCTACTATTACTCTACCACTATATGATTTGAACCTCGCCAAAATATAGGATCACACAGTAACCGGTGTATCAATCAGGCCGCATTTGGCGATATACAACTTGCACACTCGTGACAAGAAACCTACACAAAACAGAGATGTAAAGAACAGACTCTAGGCATTGATAACGCTCCTGTTGTAACAGAAATATCCGATGATACCAGTCGTTTTCCGTGATAAATGTATTTTATGAATATAGTAAGTAAACTTGCTACTTACGCGCATTTGGCTAAGCACTCGTTGTCGTAGGTGTTCCCATCAGAACCACACACTGGTGCAATTATTTCTGGACAATAACACGGACACGGGCACTTTCCTTCACATTTGATGTCAACATTTCTAGAAAACAACAAATCAGTTTAAAAGAAATCAAATATCTTCAAAATATTCTGAAAAGAAAAGTGCTGACTCGGTTAAGAAATCTACACAAAACATTCGAAATACCTCATTTCCAAACATACAAATATCCTGCCAGTCTTGTTATCAAACCCCATATAGAAGTCTAATGATTTCCAAGCCAATTTCGGAACGAGGTTCACTTTGTCTATGACAATCAACAAACAGTTTTAGTAAGAATAAAAATAATGACTATCTTTAACTGTGGTACCATATCTACAGACATATACTGTACACAAGGAAATATTCGTCTAGTGTTTCGTTAGCCCTCGTATAAAACTTTTCATTTTTGCGGTTTCTCAAATTTGCCATCAAATACATAACATAAACGTTTACATCACGCTTTCGCCTTGATGGTCAAAGGCCAAAATGAGCCTAAATGACGGTAATTTGACAGGTAAGCATTTTGATCAAATGCACACAGTGTTAAAAATGATAGATTGTTGATTTTACGTTACTTAGTTACCGAAATATTATTCAATATAGGTAGGTAGGCTTATTAATAATCATACAGAATGCATAAGCATGTAACCAATAAATACCCGTCACCAAGCACTGTACACATAACAACATGGACCAGTTTGTGATATATCTATAATACCTCCAGATACAATGTATATACTTCTATAAACTACAAAAAAATCCTTTCGATAATAGTTGATCGCACTCACGCACAATCGGCGGCACACGCGTTGTTGTAGGTTCTTTTGTCAACTCCACATACTGGTATGTAATCCACAGTGCAATTACATGGACAAGGACACTTCTGATGACATTGAATGCCAACACCCCTGAAATAAGAATACCACAATAACAAAGGATTTGACAATGCTTTTTCTTAATTTCTCATATTTGTCATAAAAAAGTTCATCTAAAGAATGTATAAGTTTGCTATTTTTCACTTGCAGACCAATATTCGTCACATAGTGTCGCTTGATAGAATATACCAACTTGCTGAGTACAGAGTGAATTCACTTATATACATTAGAGATGAAAGTTTCCTCTTAATAAAAAAGTATGATTTTCTTCATGTTTCTGGAATATCTCACTTTCACTATGTCTTTTTTAATCCTTCAAAAATCTATCTGTTCAATATTCACAGTGAAATCTTTTATGCAGGCGCGCGACTGTCCCGAAATTGACAAGAGATATTCATACGAATATGAACTTTTAATTTAGTCCTGAATTAAATCAACAACCAATCAATAACCGAAGTATACCACAAGGTCACCCGAACCACACACGAAGGCTATACGAAGATGTGCATGTTTATTAAGAACTTTACCCGAATGACACTCGAAAGCAACATGATGACTACTATTGAGTGTACAAAGCGTTCGAAACAGGTTCACGAAGGCATCACATGACCTGCTAATGATATAAAAACCAACTGTGCTCAAATTTCTCCTCAATCTCAAATTCCCAATAATGTAAAATGCCATGCCAAAATCCCAAAGTAAATATTTTAAACCTAACTCCCAGTAACAATTTATAAACGATAGTTTGACATTAGGCCTTTGTCATTAGTTTGACATTGATAAAGACTGCAATGGAAGATACTCTGAGAATTGTTTTATGTATAGCTTCGACACTCGAATCCAACATGAAAATGGGCCTTAGCAATGTCTTTCAACATTTTTGGCATGCCAATGATTATGTTTCGCATTCATAACTTTGTTAAGGAGACAATTTCGCTAAATAAAATCAGGAAATATGTAATAATCCGCTTATTGACATCCTGCTACTATTACTCTACCACTATATGATTTGAACCTCGCCAAAATATAGGATCACACAGTAACCGGTGTATCAATCAGGCCGCATTTGGCGATATACAACTTGCACACTCGTGACAAGAAACCTACACAAAACAGAGATGTAAAGAACAGACTATAGGCATTGATAACGCTCCTGTTGTAACAGAAATATCCGATGATACCAGTCGTTTTCCGTGATAAATGTATTTTATGAATATAGTAAGTAAACTTGCTACTTACGCGCATTTGGCTAAGCACTCGTTGTCGTAGGTGTTCCCATCAGAACCACACACTGGTGCAATTATTTCTGGACAATAACACGGACACGGGCACTTTCCTTCACATTTGATGTCAACATTTCTAGAAAACAACAAATCAGTTTAAAAGAAATCAAATATCTTCAAAATATTCTGAAAAGAAAAGTGCTGACTCGGTTAAGAAATCTACACAAAACATTCGAAATACCTCATTTCCAAACATACAAATATCCTGCCAGTCTTGTTATCAAACCCCATATAGAAGTCTAATGATTTCCAAGCCAATTTCGGAACGAGGTTCACTTTGTCTATGACAATCAACAAACAGTTTTAGTAAGAATAAAAATAATGACTATCTTTAACTGTGGTACCATATCTACAGACATATACTGTACACAAGGAAATATTCGTCTAGTGTTTCGTTAGCCCTCGTATAAAACTTTTCATTTTTGCGGTTTCTCAAATTTGCCATCAAATACATAACATAAACGTTTACATCACGCTTTCGCCTTGATGGTCAAAGGCCAAAATGAGCCTAAATGACGGTAATTTGACAGGTAAGCATTTTGATCAAATGCACACAGTGTTAAAAATGATAGATTGTTGATTTTACGTTACTTAGTTACCGAAATATTATTCAATATAGGTAGGTAGGCTTATTAATAATCATACAGAATGCATAAGCATGTAACCAATAAATACCCGTCACCAAGCACTGTACACATAACAACATGGACCAGTTTGTGATATATCTATAATACCTCCAGATACAATGTATATACTTCTATAAACTACAAAAAAATCCTTTCGATAATAGTTGATCGCACTCACGCACAATCGGCGGCACACGCGTTGTTGTAGGTTCTTTTGTCAACTCCACATACTGGTATGTAATCCACAGTGCAATTACATGGACAAGGACACTTCTGATGACATTGAATGCCAACACCCCTGAAATAAGAATACCACAATAACAAAGGATTTGACAATGCTTTTTCTTAATTTCTCATATTTGTCATAAAAAAGTTCATCTAAAGAATGTATAAGTTTGCTATTTTTCACTTGCAGACCAATATTCGTCACATAGTGTCGCTTGATAGAATATACCAACTTGCTGAGTACAGAGTGAATTCACTTATATACATTAGAGATGAAAGTTTCCTCTTAATAAAAAAGTATGATTTTCTTCATGTTTCTGGAATATCTCACTTTCACTATGTCTTTTTTAATCCTTCAAAAATCTATCTGTTCAATATTCACAGTGAAATCTTTTATGCAGGCGCGCGACTGTCCCGAAATTGACAAGAGATATTCATACGAATATGAACTTTTAATTTAGTCCTGAATTAAATCAACAACCAATCAATAACCGAAGTATACCACAAGGTCACCCGAACCACACACGAAGGCTATACGAAGATGTGCATGTTTATTAAGAACTTTACCCGAATGACACTCGAAAGCAACATGATGACTACTATTGAGTGTACAAAGCGTTCGAAACAGGTTCACGAAGGCATCACATGACCTGCTAATGATATAAAAACCAACTGTGCTCAAATTTCTCCTAAATCTCAAATTCCCAATAATGTAAAATGCCATGCCAAAATCCCAAAGTAAATATTTTAAACCTAACTCCCAGTAACAATTTATAAACGATAGTTTGACATTAGGCCTTTGTCATTAGTTTGACATTGATAAAGACTGCAATGGAAGATACTCTGAGAATTGTTTTATGTATAGCTTCGACACTCGAATCCAACATGAAAATGGGCCTTAGCAATGTCTTTCAACATTTTTGGCATGCCAATGATTATGTTTCGCATTCATAACTTTGTTAAGGAGACAATTTCGCTAAATAAAATCAGGAAATATGTAATAATCCGCTTATTGACATCCTGCTACTATTACTCTACCACTATATGATTTGAACCTCGCCAAAATATAGGATCACACAGTAACCGGTGTATCAATCAGGCCGCATTTGGCGATATACAACTTGCACACTCGTGACAAGAAACCTACACAAAACAGAGATGTAAAGAACAGACTATAGGCATAGATAACGCTCCTGTTGTAACAGAAATATCCGATGATACCAGTCGTTTTCCGTGATAAATGTATTTTATGAATATAGTAAGTAAACTTGCTACTTACGCGCATTTGGCTAAGCACTCGTTGTCGTAGGTGTTCCCATCAGAACCACACACTGGTGCAATTATTTCTGGACAATAACACGGACACGGGCACTTTCCTTCACATTTGATGTCAACATTTCTAGAAAACAACAAATCAGTTTAAAAGAAATCAAATATCTTCAAAATATTCTGAAAAGAAAAGTGCTGACTCGGTTAAGAAATCTACACAAAACATTCGAAATACCTCATTTCCAAACATACAAATATCCTGCCAGTCTTGTTATCAAACCCCATATAGAAGTCTAATGATTTCCAAGCCAATTTCGGAACGAGGTTCACTTTGTCTATGACAATCAACAAACAGTTTTAGTAAGAATAAAAATAATGACTATCTTTAACTGTGGTACCATATCTACAGACATATACTGTACACAAGGAAATATTCGTCTAGTGTTTCATTAGCCCTCGTATAAAACTTTTCATTTTTGCGGTTTCTCAAATTTGCCATCAAATACATAACATAAACGTTTACATCACGCTTTCGCCTTGATGGTCAAAGGCCAAAATGAGCCTAAATGACGGTAATTTGACAGGTAAGCATTTTGATCAAATGCACACAGTGTTAAAAATGATAGATTGTTGATTTTACGTTACTTAGTTACCGAAATATTATTCAATATAGGTAGGTAGGCTTATTAATAATCATACAGAATGCATAAGCATGTAACCAATAAATACCCGTCACCAAGCACTGTACACATAACAACATGGACCAGTTTGTGATATATCTATAATACCTCCAGATACAATGTATATACTTCTATAAACTACAAAAAAATCCTTTCGATAATAGTTGATCGCACTCACGCACAATCGGCGGCACACGCGTTGTTGTAGGTTCTTTTGTCAACTCCACATACTGGTATGTAATCCACAGTGCAATTACATGGACAAGGACACTTCTGATGACATTGAATGCCAACACCCCTGAAATAAGAATACCACAATAACAAAGGATTTGACAATGCTTTTTCTTAATTTCTCATATTTGTCATAAAAAAGTTCATCTAAAGAATGTATAAGTTTGCTATTTTTCACTTGCAGACCAATATTCGTCACATAGTGTCGCTTGATAGAATATACCAACTTGCTGAGTACAGAGTGAATTCACTTATATACATTAGAGATGAAAGTTTCCTCTTAATAAAAAAGTATGATTTTCTTCATGTTTCTGGAATATCTCACTTTCACTATGTCTTTTTTAATCCTTCAAAAATCTATCTGTTCAATATTCACAGTGAAATCTTTTATGCAGGCGCGCGACTGTCCCGAAATTGACAAGAGATATTCATACGAATATGAACTTTTAATTTAGTCCTGAATTAAATCAACAACCAATCAATAACCGAAGTATACCACAAGGTCACCCGAACCACACACGAAGGCTATACGAAGATGTGCATGTTTATTAAGAACTTTACCCGAATGACACTCGAAAGCAACATGATGACTACTATTGAGTGTACAAAGCGTTCGAAACAGGTTCACGAAGGCATCACATGACCTGCTAATGATATAAAAACCAACTGTGCTCAAATTTCTCCTAAATCTCAAATTCCCAATAATGTAAAATGCCATGCCAAAATCCCAAAGTAAATATTTTAAACCTAACTCCCAGTAACAATTTATAAACGATAGTTTGACATTAGGCCTTTGTCATTAGTTTGACATTGATAAAGACTGCAATGGAAGATACTCTGAGAATTGTTTTATATATAGCTTCGACACTCGAATCCAACATGAAAATGGGCCTTAGTAATGTCTTTCAACATTTTTGGCATGCCAATGATTATGTTTCGCATTAATAACTTTGTTAAGGAGACAATTTCGCTAAATAAAATCAGGAAATATGTAATAATCTGCTTATTGACATCCTGCTACTATTGCTCTACCACTGCTACTACTACTACTACTACTACTACTACTCTTACTATACTACTACTACTACTTTCTACTACTACTAAATAGATAATAATTTGTATTGGAGGTGAATTTCGTAAATATTGTTTATCTACAATATCAAGTGTCAATAAAATAACTGTCTGTTAGAAAAAAGACAAAAAAGATCAAGATCTGACATCTGAGCCTAACGAAAATATATGATTTGAACCTCGCCAAAATATAGGATCACACAGGAACCGGTGTATCAATCAGGCCACATTTGTTGTAACAGAAATATCCGATCATAACAGTCGTTTTCCGTGATAAATGTATTTTATTAATATAGTAAGTAAACTTTCTACTTACGCGCATTTGGCTAAACACTCGTTGTCGTAGGTGTTCCCATCAGAACCACACACTGGGGCCAGTTTTTTTGGACAATAACATGGGCAGGGGCACTTTCTTTTACATCTGACTTTAACTTTTCTAGAAAACAACAAATCAGTTTAAAAGAAATCAAATGTCTTCCAAATATTCTGACAAGAAAAGTGCGGACTCGGTTAAGAACTCTACACAAAATATTCGAAATACCCCATTTTCAAACATACAAATATCCTGCTAGTCTTGTTATCAAAGCCCATATAGAAGTCTAATCATTTCCAAGCCAATTTCGGAACGAGGTTCATTTTGTCTTTGGCAATCAACAAACAGTGTTAGTAGGAATAAAAAAAATGACTATCCTTAAAGACTGTGTTACCATAGCTGCAGACATTTAAATGTTTATGGGGAAATATTCGTCTAGTGTTATAAGAATGCCATAATAACAGAGAATTCGTCATATCATTAGCAGTTTCCAATTAAGAATTGTTTCGATAAAAATGTTCATCTAAATAATGTATAAGTTTGTTAATTTTTACTTGCAGACCAATATTCGTCACGTAGTGTCGTTTGATAGAATATACCAACTTGCTGAGTACAGAGTGAATTCACTTATATACATTAGAGATGAAAGTTTCCGCTTAATAAAAAAGTATGATTTTCTTAATGTTTCTGGAATATCTCACTTTCACTATGTCTTTTTTTAATCCTTCAAAAATCTATCAGTTCAATATTCACAGTGAAATCTTTTATGCAGGCGCGCGACTGTCCCGAAATTGACAAGAGATATTCATACGAATATGAACCTTTAATTTCACGTGAAGTTACTCCTGAATTTAGTCAACAGCTTATCAACAACCGAAGCATACCACAAGGCCACCCGAACCACACACGAAGTCTATACGAAGATGTGCATGTTTATTGAGAACTTTACCCGAATGACACTCGAAAGCAATATGATGACTACTATTGAGTATACAAAGCGTTCGAAACAGGTTCATGAAGGCGTCACGTGACCTGCTAATGATATAAAAACCAACTGTGCTCAAATTTCTCCTAAATCTCAAATTCCCAATAATGTAAAATGCCATGCCAAAATCCCAAAGTAAATATTTTAAACCTAACTCCCAGTAACAATTTATAAACGATAGTTTGATATTAGGCCTTTGTCATTAATTTGAAATTATAAAGACTGCAATTGAAGATACTCTAAGACTTTTATATATCTACGTTCCACACTCGAATCGAACATGAAAATTTGCCTTAGCAATGTCTTTCAACATTTTTTGGCATGCCAATGATTATGCCATCTGCCATGAAGTGATTTTATTTCAACGTGTTTCATTGCATTTTTATTTCAAATAAATTTTCTCGTTTTCAGAAATATGCAAAGAACATAATCTCATTTAGAATAAACTAATGTTTAACTATATAAGCATGCTATGTTTCGCATTCATAACTTTGTTAAGGAGACAATTTCGCTTCATGAAATCAGGAAAATTGTAACAATCCGCTTACTGACATCATCTTACTATTACTATACTACTACTACTACTACCACTATTGCTACTACTACTACTACTACTTCTACTACTACTTACTACTACTGCTATTGCTGTACTGCTACTACTACTTCTACTACTACTTACTACTACTACTAATTTGTATTGGAGGTGGATTTCATAAGTATGGTTTATCTGCAATATCAAGTGTCAATTAAATGGTGGTATTTTTTTCTGACATCTGAGTCTAACGAAAATATATGATTTGAACCTCGCCAAAATATAGGATCACACAGTAACCGGTGTATCAAACAGGCCGCATTTGGCGATACAACTTGCATACTTGAGACAAGAAATCTACTGAAAACATTGAGGTAACGAACAGACTGTAGACATTGATAACGCTCCTGTTGTAACAGAAATATCCGATGATACCAGTCGTTTTCCGTGATAAATGTATTTTATAAATATAATAAGTAAACTTGCTACTTACGCCTTTTCAGCCAAGCACTTATTTGCGTAGGTTTTCCCATCAGAACCACACACTGGTCTACTTTTGTATCGACGACGACACAGACACGGGCACTTTCCTTCACATTCAATGGGAACATATCTAGAAAACAACAAATAAGTTTAAAAGAAATCAAATATCTTAAAAATATTCTTACAAGAAAAGTGCTGACTCGGTTATGGTCTAAGATTAGACAAAGTAACCCAAATGGAGTCAATAATCGATGCCAGGATGATCAAACACTAAGATATGTTTTCCGCTACTACTAACACTACAGAAAACACTGACTATTGCTAATTATATTGCTGTTAATAGCACCAACAGCGTCAAAAACAACAAAAACAACACAACTACAACAACAACTATTACTACCTCTACAACGTCTAGTACTACTTCAATTACTACTACTACTATTATTACCACTACTTCTATTACTACTACTTACTACTACTATTATAACTACTACCACAACTACTACTACTACTACTACTACTACTACTACTACTACTACTTCTACTACTTCTACTACTACTAAATAGATAATAATTTGTTTTGGAGGTGGATTTTGTCAGTATTGTTTATCTACAATATAAGGTGTCAATAAAATGGCGGTCTTTTTTTTTTTTTTTTTTTAAATATATCAAGATTTGACATCAGAATCACACACTGCTATTGATATTGCAGTTAATAGCAGCAACAGCGTCAAAAACAACAACAAAAAATACACAATTACGAAAACAACATCAGAACCAAACACTGGGGCCAATATTCTTGGACAAGGACACGGACACGGGCACTTTCTTTTACATTTGATGTCAACATTTCTAGAAAACAACAAATCAGTTTAAAAGAAATCAAATATCTTCAAAATATTCTTACAAAAAAGTGCTGACTCGGTTAAGAAATCTACACAAAACATTCGAAATACCTCATTTTCAAACATACACATATCCTGCCAGTCTTGTTATCAAAGCCCAAATAGAAGTCTAATCATTTCCAAGCCAATTTCGGAACGAGGTTCATTTTGTCTATGACAATCAGCAAACAGTTTTAGTAAGAATTGAAAAATGACTATCTTTAACTATGGTACCATATCTACAGACATATGCTGTACACGAGAAAATATCCGTCAAGTGTTTCCTTTGCCCTCGTATAAAACTACTCGTTTTCGCGGTTTCTTACATTTGCCATCAAATACATAACGTATCCTTTAACACCACGCTTTCGCCTTGATGGTCAAAGGGCAAAATGGGCCTAAACGACTGTAATTTGACTTGTAAGTATGTCAAAATGCACACAGTGCTAAAATTGACAAATTATTGATTATTTTGGGTTACTTAGTTACTGAAATATTATTCAATATAAGTAGGTAGGCTTATTAATAATCATACAGAATGCATAAGCATGTAACCAATAAATACCCGTCACCAGGCACTGTACACATAACAACATGCATCAGTTTGTTATGTATCTATAATACCTCCAGATTCTATAAACTACAAATAAATCCTTTTGATAATAGATGATCGCACTCACGCACAACCGGCGGCACACGCGTTGTTGTAGGTTCTTTTGTCAACTCCACATACTGGTGTATAATCTAGAGTACAATTACATGGGCAAGGACACTTCTGATCACATTTAATACCAACACCCCTGAAATAGAAATACCACAATAACAAAGGATTTGACAATGTTTATATCGATTTCTTTACTATCTATTGAATATTCAATGTAAATACCACAGTCTGGACTAAATGGTAATATTTTCAAGCATATATTTGCAGCCTGTTTTATATATTGAAATAATTTTCTTACTTGCAGCGTGCGAGGCATTTATTGGAGTAAGTTTTGCCATCCACTCCACATACTGGAATATAATCCTGTTGACAGCCACAGTCTTTTCCACATTTCCCGTAAGTGATGATGTTGAATCCCCTGTCAATTATAGTTATTAGTTTTCATTTCCACGTTTCTCTAAATTATGGGTAAGTTTCCACACCTTTAATTTTATATTACAAATGTACATACTTATGTTTTTTTTTTTTTTTTTTTGTATGTATCCTTTTAACACTTACTGACATTTGTGTGTTATTCAAGCAATGAATATCCATAAAGAATCAAGCATCTCCGACTGAATCAAATGTAGCATAGATCCTCTTGATAACACCTTCGCGTCTCGTTGGATAATTCACGTCACACGGTGACCGTCAATATCTCTATAGACGAAATTGTGGTCTCGATGGTCATTATGGTTATTATACGTCACTCCGATATATTGGACCCTCACAAAAAACATACATCTCAACAATGTTCCCATTATTGCTATGCTCGCTTCATCGGTTCCTTAGATTTATATCCAAAGCCTTTGAAAACATACCCAGCTAATAATCCGTCCCCACGTGTCCCGAAGGGAATTATATCTTCTATCCCATCGACGAATGCCATCATGTACTTTCTATTTCAAAATCAAGTTGATACTGCGTTCTCAACAAGAAGATTGAGATAGAAATAATGAAACCTCTACCATGCATCGAACACACCTAATTTATTGCAGAGAATATTTCTCAATGATCTCATAATGATAACAACCGATTTTCTAATAGTCTTACCGATCTATTTTTGGTAAGCATTCGCAGGATTTGTAAAATTTGCAACAACCTTAGGATATCGAACCAGATGTGTCTTGTTACCAATGTAGATTAGTGTGATATAATCTAGAAAAGGGAAATTAACAATAAGGGAAATTTAAAAAGTATGTTTATCCTGTAATTTGTTTGCCTGTGTAGTGCCTACAGGATAACATCTTTCCATTACAGTCTGCACAGTTATCTTGCTACATCCTGTTTTCATATGTCCATTGTGAATTTTTATCTATTACTTACATAGCAATGGTAAGTAAATCATACATTTCTGCTATTTACATATCTCAGGTACAAGGCGCATATAACATATATCACAAGTATACAAATACCTATTAATATCAATTTGGTATTATGGATTTTGGATTAAGGATACGTTGCCTTAAGGTTTGCTTTAAAATGCTTTGTTGAGTATATTCATGTGAAATGTTTCATCTAATTGTAAGTGAAAAGTCTTAAGCACCACATGAAAGAAAATCCTGGTATGAAAAATGGTAAAAACGATACAAGAGGCAATTTAAATTCAGAGTAAGATACAGTGACGCCAAACAATTAATCAAAGTGCATCATACAGCTGTATCGTCCTTCTAGGACTCGTCAGTGATTTTGATGTATTGGAGGCGATTGAGGAAAAGTAAAAGTTGTCAACAGATACGTCCAAATCTAGATAGGCAAGTGCATTTGTCCATAATCAAATTAATTCCGTCATTTTCATATATCAGATCATTTCGGAACAGTCAAGAACATGTACATATTCTGAACCGTGCTATTATTTAAATGGAAGTGGGGTATATTTGACATTGCATTCACTACAATGTAAACGTAATATATTGGTTATTTAGCAATATTTACTTTTTAACTTTGCATTCGTTCTTAAATGTTCTTGTTCTACATTTAACGGCACAGACAGGTCCACTTCTTCTGTTACATTCTGAAATAAGAACAATGATTACAATACTTTCAGTTTTTATAGATTAACCCAACTTTTACAGGATTTCTTTTTCGCGGTATTCGTAGAAAGGATTGCGATTGTTTGTACCGATGTCATGTCAATTGTCTTCATCACTATCAATGTACATTCAGTACATACAATTATATAATTATGTGTCATACTTATATAATTAATGTATATGAATTTATTATACAAAATGATTGTAGCGGATTTCACGCTAAATTTGTAACGCTAAAATACATGTATGGTTATGCTAATCACAGTTTCTGTATGTTGTCTATAGCATTCATTCTGGATACGCTAATTTTATAAATGCAAATAATACGTTTACATGTGATGGTACCAAATTTAATATGTTCTCAATATTCATGACAGAATTCTCGTTTGCGAAAGATAGAAATCCTCCAAATTAAAATCTTTTACGGTGTTTTACACATGACAATTTCAGAAGCATGGAACTTTAACTGCATAACTCATTTCTGACCTAACAATAGAGGCAGGAAATGCCAATAGCTTTTTTGTACATAGAGTGATTAAAAAGCGGTTTATCTATCTAAAATACAGTGGTGTGATCTGAGTATGTTTGAATGTTAACGCAATAAAGCTTTTCAAAGTTTGCAGACAAGAGGGACAAACATATCAGATCATTAAAAAGGAGAATATGCACAGATGTTCAAAAACTGCATGCAAACTATGAAACCAACTTTAAATTCAACACATGTTTTAAAATAATCGAGCGAATTTCTTTGTAACGACAGGGCGGTATGTCTGAGAAAAAATCTTGTCTTTTAGTTTTAACGGAAACTTTTAGAAAAAAAAATTAACATCAAATGCTAAAATGCACTTGAATAGAGGAAACTTAAGAAAATGTTAATTTTTAATCAAGACAGTAGCTATATGTGACCGATCGAGAGAAGTACAAAACAATTTCATTCATTATCATGATAAATGGTACATATTCAAAATTAGCATTCTCAGCCTTTTTCTGTGAAACTGCACACTTAAAAAAAAACTCTTCATAACTTTTCACAACAAACAATAGTAACAAACAACAACTACGTAAGCATGCAACATATACATAAAAAGGGTAAATTTTAAACATAAATGAACATAAGGCAGGCATAAAGCACACGAGATGTACATAAACATATAACATCTTCAAAACATAACAAATGAGTTTACTTACGGCATTCAACTACAGTTGCGATGATGAGCAGCAGTCCAGCTATAACTAACGGATGTGACGTCATAACTGAAAATAGAAATTTCAGCAAATAGCAAGATAGGTAAAGCGATAGCAAAATTATGACAAAGATGCAGACTATTAAGACTATTAGAGTATTTGTCTATAAATTATACGACACCCCAGAATCGCTCGATACCACCAAATAAATTACCATACGTGCCTAAATGAATGTTCTATATTTCTCCCAGTCAAACTTAACTTTTGATGTCAGGATTCATATATGTATTAATATGTCAGCATCTATATATAATCAAGAACTG